AGAAACACACCTAGGTTCAATTACCTCCTCTTCCTGATCCTCCTCTATTTTGTGTCTTCCTCCGCCTCCACAAGAGCCAGTAGAGTTCAAGAGCTGTGGAACCTAACACTATGCGGCCAACATCACCAAACTCTCTAGAGGCAAATCCCCATCATCCAAGTACACTTGTTCCCATTGATATGCCTAATCCACTTAATATTGATCCTCCTATTATTGATGATCTTGATGTTTCGCCTGTAGTAAGCATATCTCACCTTCATATCATGTTTTTCTTTCCTCCATTGACAACATTTCTATTCCTAAGAATGTGGCGAAAGCTTTATCCATCCCTGAATGGACAGATGCATTGAAAGAAGAAATTAATGCCTTGCACAAAAATGACACTTAGGAGTTGGTGGATCTTCCTTAAGAAAAAGAACCAGTGGGATGTAAGTGGGTGTTCATAGTGAAGCATGGAGCTGATGATACGGTAGAAAGGTAAAAAGCCAGGTTGGTGGCAAAAGGAAGTGTATGGAGTAGACTATGCAAATACCTTTGCTCCAGTAGCCAAGATGAACTCTATCAGAATCCTCCTTTCACTATCAGCTAATTTTGACTGAGAACTTCACCGATTGGATATTAAAAATGCATTCTTGAATGGTGACCTAGAGGAGGAGATGTACATGACTCAACCTCTAGGTTTCTGTGCCAAAGGTAGTGAGCACAAGGTGTGCAAGTTAAAACAATCATTATATGAGTTGAAACAGTCACCTCGGGCCTAGTTTAGTAAGTTTCACTTAGTTGTACAACAAATGGGGTTGAAACGATGCCAGTTAGATCATATTCTATTTATAAAGAAAGGTGAAGGGAAAATTGCAACTCTAATTGTGTATGTTGATGACATAATGGCATAGTTCGTCTAGGCAACTAGGCGGTTTTTCATGGTCGCCTTGCCCAAACAACACAAGTTTTGCATATTAGGCGACCGCCCAGAGACTTGGGTGGCGTTTGATAAATCTAAATTCAGATCTGAAAAGTTAAAAAGATATTAAAAGTGTCTGAAATCTGAAAAGAGGCATAAATGCTTTTCTACTTTTTAGAGGATCTAAATTCATAAGTTTGTTTATGTTGGATCAACCCTTTACCATCTGAAATTTACTGATTTTACTATTTTACCCCTAAAATATACTATTTGGAAATGTTGAGTTTAATTTGCATTATCTCATAAAAAATAATTTTCAACCTCAAAATAATATTGAAATAATACAAATAAAAAATAATAAATTAATAATTACTAATTTATAAATGAAACGATTAAAATTAAAAGAAAAATTAATGACTATAAAAATATTAAAATAATTAATAATTTACACAAATAAAAATTAAAATAATTTTTAAAAATTAATGAAATAGTTAAAAGTTACTAGTTAATAAAAATAATTAATAGTTAATAAATAACATAAATAAATTTAATAGAAATAATTAATGCTTAATAAAAATATTAAAATAATTAATAATTTATAATTTATAATTAATAATTAATACAATTATTATTCACTGAACCACCGCTGCTGCTGCATGTTAGTGGCAGTGGCAATGATGGGAATACAGGGGAGGGAGAGAGAGAACAGGGAAGACGGGGCGAGAGAGAGCCGCTGTTGCAACTTGCAGCGGCGGTGGCAGGATGACAGGGTGGAGAGAGAGAGAGAGCGAGAGAAAAACCAAATGAGTCTAAGCGCACGAGAATACAGGGATAGCGTGCATCATTTCCAAAATATTGTAGGGGATTTTCAACTATCCACCGGCTCTGAAACGCGTCTGAGCACGTTAAGATCCAACCCAATCTCTATTATATTCAGATCTGAAAATAAGATTCAGATCAAGTTTAAGAGTTAAAACCAAACAAGTGTGAGGATCTAAAAAGCAACATTTTCAGATTCAGACCTTTGAAATGTGCAATCAAACAACCCCTTAACCGGGTGCCTACATACAAGGCAGGCGCCTACGTTCATCTAAAAAATTATTATTTTTTTTAATTTTGTTGATATTTTTATTGGATGTTTTATTCTTTTAAAATAAATCTGGTTACATGATATCATTTTAGTATTAAGACCAAGTATACAGCCTTTTTTTTCTTTATGTCAAAAGGGTTTTTTTGGTTCAATTGGAGAGGGAGGAGAACCAAAGACTTCAAACCCCAGCCCAACTCCATCGCACCTCAGCTCCAGCAGGTAAGTTCTTCTTTTCTAGATTTCAAACATTTTTTTTGAAAAAACAGGGGCTCTGCCAATCCTCCCTTTCTTTTTCTTTTCCAGATTTCAGTCAAATCATTCCTGAGTTCTCTCTTCTCAGCTTAGACATTTTTTCATTTTCTTCGAAAAAACAAGGGTACCGCCCCTATACTCCTCAGTCCTCCCTTTCTCCACTCATCATCATCATCATCATCTTCCACCCCATGAGTCCATGACTGTTCTTAGTCGTCAGTCATCCGCCCCATGAGTCCATTTTTTTTTTTGAAAAAACAAGGGCTCCGCCCTATACTCCTCTCCTCCCTTCACTGATTCAGTCATTGTTCTCACTTCTCACTTCAGTTTTTAACAGCCGAACCTATCATTAATATATATGAATATGATTATATGGCTGAAATCTATAGATTTTATATTTATAGATTCCATTGCCTAGGTGTGCCTAGCTCGCCTAGTCGCCTTGACAACTATGCATAATGGCCATAAGAGATATCATAGCCACTCAGTTCAAAGTGAAAGATCTAGGCCCCTTAAGTTATTTCCTTGGGATTGAAGTTGCTCGCTCTCAAAAGGGCATCTTTATTTCTCAAAGGAAATATGTACTGGATCTTTTAGAGGACATAGGCAATTTAGGAGTGAAGCCAATTGATTCACCCATTGAACCTAATCATCAGCTGGCTAACAGTTAGGGGGAGGCTATGAAAAATGTGAACAAGTTCTAGAGAAGTTTCTAGGGGTGTCCTTATATTTGTATATGACTAGACCTGACATTGCTTGTATAGTGGGTCTCCTTAGTCAGTTCATGCATAATTCTAAGACTTCCCACTTTGAAGCTACAAAAAGGATCCTTAGATACCTCAAGAAGTTCCCAGAGGTCAGTTTGTTGTTCTAGAAACGTGGGCATTTGAAAGTTGAAGTGTATCCAGATGCTGATTGGGCAGGAACAGTCGATGACAGAAAGTCTACTAGTGGGTACTGTACCTTTGTGGGAGGAAACCTAGTCACCTAGAGAAGTAAGAAACAAAGTGTGGTGGCTAGGTCCAGTGCTTAAGTAGAATACAAAGCTATGTCTCATGGAGTTGTTGAAATCATGTGGATAAAGAACCTATTAGGTGAACTGGGCTTTGCAGTTAACAGCCCTATGTCAATATCTTGTGACAATAAAGTTTCCATCAACATTGCCACCAACCCAGTCCTCCATGATAGGACAAAACATATTTAAGTGGACAAACATTTTATTAGGAAAAAACATGAGTGGAGAAGTATGCACTCCCTATGTCAATTCAGAAGAACAACTCGCAGATATTTTCACCAAGGGTCTTCATCCTGTGTAACACAATAATTTGTGTGACAAGTTGGGCATGATTGACATTTGTGTCCCAACTTGAGGGGGAGCGTTGAAATAGCTCAGTTTATTCTGGTTATTTTGCTTAGTTTATTTTCTGATCTTCTGTTTAAAACAACTTAGTTTTTAATTTGTTTATGTACTGAGAGTGTTGCAGGGGCATAAGAGTCTTTTTCTTATCTTTTAAGTCTCGCCCTATATATAATAATATATTCTGCTGCCGCCAGAACAGATTTGACTCCTAAACACTTTCCCTTCTCTCTCTCCTCTCTTCTTATTTCTTCTGTATTTCTCTGCTAATACTTACTTTAATAAATTTTATTTTACCATAAAAAAGGGCTTGGCCATCATGGCCTTAAATAACAGAAGGAAAAGATGTAATAACCCACAACCCCTTTCTATTGCAACAAACCCATTAGTTACATCTCGTCCTTTTGTGATAAGGGCCTTGAAAAGAACAACTGGACAAGGCCAATGATGCTTGCATTGCTTATTAAAGAGAACACTGCTTTGTTTCCTGTTTTTATTCTCTAACTTAGAAGTACGATATCGCAGTTTTTCTCTCTTTGCATATTTTGAATACAAGCTATTTACTTTCCAGTTCTACAATCCCTAAACAAGTAGAGATATATCTGTTGATATGGGAACTCAGAGTATCAGATGCTACTTTTAATTTCTTAAATTCAGAAAATGGATATAGATACAAATGTTGTTTCATTCAATATGATAGAACTATGCTTTTACCATTTACGAAAGCTTACCATAACTTTATGTAGAACTCAATTGCTGATGGAGGCAGAAATTGGGTAAGGCATGCCTTCATTTACCATTTGGGATACCATTGAATCCAAAACAATGAGAGAGAATAAAAGAGATATGAACACTTTTACTGTAAGCATGTTGCAAAGAGTATAGTTGAAGGGCTTAAGTATCATTTAGAGGACTGGCAGCAAAGTTTCCAAACCTGCCCAGTCTATCATCACAGAAGGTGTTTCTGTGAAAAACTTTGGTTCTCAGATACACATTCAGATAATCAATCCCTCAAGCAAATGGCACTTGAGAAAAAATACAATGAATAAGGAAAGGGAGAAGACAGAAGCCATCAAATGTAATTCTTCCGTATTCACTCTAATACCTGTTTAATAGACTGTATAATGATAATGGTTTTTTAATGACAGGGAATGACAAAAGATTTTTTAGAGTATTATCTCTAATAATCAAGCATCTAAACAAACATCAACATTCTCCATTACCAATCCCTAAGAAAATTGAGGGAAATAAATAAAAAGGAACCAAGGCTGCAAATCAGTCAACTCATAAATTCTAAATTCATTTAGATACATAACAGCAAGTTACAAATGTCTCAGAACTATGGTTCTCATTACAATCATATTGGGAAACAAAAAGGAAAGAACTATAGACCAACAAACCTCTGCAGGAAGATGGCGATCAGCAAGTTGGAAGGCTAGAAGCTCATGGAATAAACAACCATAATAATATTGGCTAAACAAAGCTGTACCACCTTCTAGTAACTCCACTGACTTGGACAATGCCTTAAAAATGGTTTCCTCTTCTGAAATCACAAAAGCTACTTCCAAATCTGAATAAACCTGGAGAGTATTTTGCATCAATCATTAAACAGAAACCTATATTTAGAGTAAACTAATGGTTGACAAAAATATGATAAATAAAAAAATAGCAACTTTCAGGTTCTGAAAATTGGTACAAATAAATAGAAGATACACAACACAGATGCTCAACTTGCCATCAGGTCCTAAGCTTCTAACCCCAAATCAACAAAACAGAATTTCATATCCATCATCAGTCTCCAAAAAGTTATATCAGTGGAACAGGATTTACCTGATTTTTAACAAGACCACATATAACTGCTGCATGTGGGGGCAGAAAATTTCCTGATAGATATTTCAGAACTCCATTTGAACCAGGAAGACTTGACAACTCAAAATGGTCAGATATATCTAGGAAAATTCGAGAGCCAATCTGTCTTGTGGTGTCTAAAAGGTGTTCGAAAGCTGAACTAGTTACTGCCTCAAAATGAGCCATCCCTGTAACCACAACCTGTGGTTTCAACTTCTTTATCAGTTCTATCATCAGATCTGACTGCCGTGGAGCTTCAATGACTGTAATTACATCCTCTGAAGACTTTCCATTGGGTTCACTCTGCAATAAGATGATTTTCTCGGCACGGTGAATTGCATGCATAAAGTTATATGTGAGAAGTTTGTATAACAAGTTACTTGGAAGAATTTAATATAGGAATATTATAATAGTGTGGTCCATGCCCACCCCAAATCAAGGATTATTACTTATCAAATAGAAAAAAAATAGTTATGAAACATAATAATCAATACATCAATAAATAAAATACACAAGAAATGCCTTAAATTAAATACAACATCTATTTCAAGAAAATTGGCAAGGAGTTAAATTTCCTTAAATTTGCATATCGTCTAATTATAAATTGACAAATTTAGTACTTAGTACGAAATGAAATTTGAGGATAATACCCCTAGTGCTGATATTAAAGATTAGTTTCCCTTATAGGAAAATCTGCAAATTGATATTAAGTTAGCTATTCTATAATAGTAATAATGCATTTGGCAGCCATAAATCTCTAATCCAAATGTCGTAGTTATTGTGTACTATCTGATTATTCAGAATAATTCACAAAATTGCCAAATATACATGAAGCTAGATATAATCTAGTCCAAATTGATCTGACTTATTCATTGTCATGGTTCAAAATATGTGACTTTTAGAGTGTTATTCATTGTCATTGTCAGGAAGATATAAGTTTATTAATAGTCAAAAAGGAGAGAAGAACAAGAGCTCTGACTCCTTAAGGATAGATGAGAAACTAATTAGGTTGAGAGAGAGATGGTCAGCTAACACTCCATATCTAAGGCATAGGCTACAAGCATAAGGAGAAAGATATAATCTGCCTTTGTTTTTCTTCTGGAGGAGGTTGTAGGTGTTTATTTTGTTCCCCTCAAACATGCTTCCCACACAAAGAAGCACACTGTGAGAGGAATGTGGGAGACCCATATTTTCTTAGTAGAAAATAGGAGGTATACTGCTCATCTGCAGTAAGAAACTTAAAAAAAAAAAAGTCTTAGTTGAGAACTTGACAGTAGGGTTAGGGGTCCAAATGCGAAGGTCAGAAGAGTGTGGGGAAACGTAAACCTTCATAAGGGTATGAAGAAGATCAACAACTTCGTTAATTTCCACATCTCTTAAGAGTCTTCTAAGGTTCAGGTTCCAGCTATTTTGATGAAGGGAGGGTGATGCAGGAGATGAAGAGTCATTGGAAGATACTTCACTATGTAGACCCACTTACACCCAACAACATGCTTACCAGGAGGAAGAACAGTGAGTTCCCACGTGCGATTGTGTTGTAGAGCAGAGAGTTCTTCGTCCATGGCTTGCTGCCACCCTGGGGAGGTAAGGGCTTTCTGGACAGTCTTGGGAATGGAAACAGATGAGAGCAATGATATAAAGTTGTGATGAGAAGCAGAAAGGTGAGCAGCTGAAACATAGTGTGAGATAGGATGAGAAGTACAAGTACGTTTACCTTTCCGCAGAGCAATAGGAAGATCAAGATCTGAGGGAGAAGAAGCAATAGCAGGATCTGTCGACAAGGGCTGAGTTGGAGGAGGGGCCGATGCTCTTCTATGGGTATACACTTGTGTGATTGGCGGCCTATCAGTAGTAACTAGCATGGGATGTGAATCTGCAACAGGAATGGGAGCCACGGGAAGGGGATCCACAACAGGGACGGGAAGAGGAACTACGGAGGAAGGAGAAGAAACCACAACATCTGAGAAAAAAGGAACTGATTCAAAGAAGGTGACATTAGAGCACACAAATGACTTATGGAATTTAGGGTTACAACACTTATACCCTTTCTGAGTCCTAGAGTAGCCAAGGAAGATACACTTAGTAGCCCGTGTATCTAACTTGTCTAAACTAGGCCCCAAGATGTGAACAAAACAAACACATCCAAAGACTCTTGGGGTGAGAGGAAAGGGAGACAAGGTGGGAAACAACACGGAGAAGGGGGATTGACTTCCAAGGATGGACATGTGCATCTGATTGATCAGAAAACAGGATGTGAGGACGACATCACTCTAAAAATGCTTTGGGACATTCATATTAAGCATCAAGGACCGAGCAGTTTCAAGGAGATGTCGATTTTTCCGTTTAGCTACACCATTTTGTTGTGGGGTGTAGGCACAAGAAGTTTGATGAATTATCCCATGGTGCTCTAAGTATTGCTGAAATGGTGATGAGCTGTACTCTTTGGCATTATCGGAGCGAAGAATTTTAATATGAACACCAAATTGGGTGCGTATTTCAGCATAAAATTTTTGAAAAATAGA